CGTGCCATCATCGCTGGCTTGCCCCTTGATGGGATCAGAGGACAGGCTGTCACCAGTGACTTGTCCCTCCTCTATGGGGAGGATGGCGCCGTGAGGTGCATAAGGTTCCGAGTCACCTTGAACGCCTCCAATGTAGAGGGGAGCTGGAGCTCTCTGCTATGTCAGTCCGGAGAGTGGTGAGGTTTCGGACTCAACCGGACCCCCAAGGGGGCAGGAGTCAACAAGACCCTGAGAGGCAGAGGGGCCAAGGTGATGTGGCCCGGTTCGAGTCTCCCTGCTGCAGGCTCCTTGGGCTTGGAAGGGGGAAAGCAACCCCTCTCTGGCCTTTTCTTTTTCTGGGGAACCAGGGACTGAGACCGGTGCCTCACAGAAGTTTGTCTAAGGGCAGAGCCGTGGCGGTGCTGCGACTCCTTGGAGTCCTTTCTCGGAAAAGGCTCACGCATCATCAGTGCCGGTGCACTGCTATGAGGAAGTGCTGGGCATGGGTTCTGCTGACCCCAGGTCAGATTGTGTCCGGAATGCAGCCTCCACGAGAAGGATCTTGAGCTTTTGCTCCCGGTCTTTTAAGATCCTAGGGCAAAATCCTTTGCAAATTCTGCACCTCTCCTTCGGGTGGCTCCCCCCGAGACACCGCAGACAGGAAGAGTGCAGGTCGCTCTTAGGCATAAATTTTCCACAGTCCTCGCAGAGTTTGAACCCTGGGAACCGGGGCATACACCGGTGCTGGGGCTAAGCGTTGGTGTGGGGCGGTAGACCCCAAAAGGAAATTTATGTCCTAACTACTAATACTAAATTAACACTAGTAAACTACTGAGAACTAACTATAAACACTAAGAGTGGACACTGCCCAAACGCGCTTGCAAAGCAAGAGCAACCGGTTGTTCCAGCTAGCCGTCACTGGCAGTAAGAAGGAACTGAGGGGGTGGTGCGGCAGGGCTCTATATTGAGCGCCATGAAGGCACGACTCCAGGGGGTGGCCAGGCCCACCGAACGGATGCTGCTAGGGGAAAAGTTTTCTGGCTGCTGTGCACGCACGCGCACACCTGATTGGAATTGACATGAACAACCACTCGAAGAAGAAGGGGAAATTGCTATCCATGCCCTGCTAAATCCTGCATTATATTCTGTAACAACTTTCCTTTAATCTCCCAGCAGGCATACAAGCAGCCTTGTCGCAGTGATAACAGAAAGCGAGAGAGAGTGCGCTCAAAACATGCCAACCCCTTCGCTTTACTGCACAGTCACTGTAGTCTTAGTGCAGTGCTTTGAGTTTAAGCTACTTTATCTTCAGTTGATTACCATTTGCCCTGCATTATTATTTCCCTAACATGTGCTCCATCCCCAGCTTGCCTGAATTTAACATTACTCTCATTATACCCAACAGTATGCTTTAGAAGCCGTTCCTCCAGAAAGCCTATAACTAGACTAATCAGATACTGGAGCAAAGTGAATTCTCATTATTAACCCCATCAATACAAGAATTCAGAATCTCTGTTGTACATCGCCTAGAGAAAATGGCACTCAAACAGCTGCAGTCATTAATGAGTTTTAATCCTGAGGATAAGGAGTAAAACAGTAGAGCAGATTATGTTCCCCGTGTGTCAGGAATGTAGTATCACCTCAGAAATTATTTACATGTCCAGATATAGCATTTTCAAGGCCTTTAAGTATCTTCCAGGGGTATATTTCAGAAAAAGGAAATGTAACATCATTGGTTGAATTGTAGCATATTTTGTTTATATGTGCAAAGCACAGTTGATGTTATCACTTTTATGTATAGAGGAATAAGAGAAATATAGCTTTTTTATTTTATTTTTTTTAACAACCTAAGTAGACCTCTCTGCTCCTTGTAGGACTGCTTCTGTTTACTGCAGAGAAGCTCTTGCTACATGCACCGGCCGAGAGGTTTAACAGTGTGACGTTATATGATTAAAACATGACCAGGTGGATCATTGTTGCTACCACTGTTATATAATTGCAACAAATCTTATACAAAATGTGTCAAGTAAGCTGTTAATAGAAAAGTTTTGATTTGCTGAATATGATAATGCTATTTGTATGCATGTATCACTTTGTATGCATGTATCATGCATGTATCTGAAGTTATGAATATTAACTATGTACCTGTATTGCAAATGTTTGCTCCCGAGGTAACACCAACAAGACATTTAGCCAGCACATTGTGAAGGAACTATTCAAGTTGAATGTCCCATCAAAGAACTCTTAACTCACAATGGACCATGGAAGACACCTATCTACATTTAATGGACTTTCCTGAGGACATTCTAACTAGAGTATGGGTAATGGCCTCTGCTATGATTAAGCAAAGCATGCATGGACTTGTGACTTGCCTGTGTGGCTCCAGACCTCATCTTGTTACCTGTAATTTTCCACAAGCTAGAACAATGGGTTTCCGTTCACTTGGCAGAAGCTATAAAAGGCCCTGGAAACATCTCCATTTTGCCTCTTTCCTGCTCAAACCTCTGGACTATGGACTTATACTAATGGGAGCATTCTAACCAAAGGACTGAGGACCTTCCATTGATTTGGAAGCAACCAGAGACTTAACAAGCCAGAAGTTTATTCCATCACTGCTACAAGCCTGACCCAAAAACTTTGCAATTATTGTATATATTTGACTCTTTTAGCCAATTTTAACTCTCACCTTTCTTTCTTTATAAATACACCTTTAGATATTAGATAGTAAAGGATTGGCAACAGTGTGATTATTGGCTAAGATCTGAGTTATATATTGACCTGGGTATGTGGTTGGTCCTTTGGGATCAGAAGAACCCATTTGTTTGATTAAATTGGTTTTAAATAACCAGTCATCATTAAGTCTAGTGTCGAATCCAGGACTGGAATACCTAAGGAGGCTGCATTTCTGACTTCTTGTTAGCCAGTGTGGTGAGACAGAAGTTTACTTTTGTTGCTGGACTGGTATAGCTCATGGAAGAATAACCACCGGTTTTGAGGTATGTCTGCCCTTTTTCCCAGCAGCTTGTCCTGAATTTGGTATTCTCAGTTGTGACCCACGGAGGCACGGTGACAATCAGTAATCGAGGAAGGGAGATTCTGGCAGTCAGAAACAAAATCCTTTTGGAAAAAAATATGCAAAATGCTAAGATGACAAACTCTATAACCCCAGAGGAAGCAGAATGCAGAGTAATTATTTATATTCTTAGAAGTGGCTATAGGCTACCAATATCTTTTAATTCAGGTCATTTTTATGCTAGAAATATGTGTACTACAGTATATCTTCAAATGGGCTATGTTGTCTTTGGCCCCTGAAATGTCTGTTCTTAGGCTACTAAAACACAAAAGCAGAGACCTAACTAGATATTTATCCCAGTTAGGAAAGGTTGCTTCATCAAATATCTTCTCCTGTCCTGGATTCTGTTCTGGAGCAGCAGGAATCATAGGATCATTTGGATTAGAAAGGAGTGTGTCATATAATCAATCCTCTGCAATGTGAAGAATATACATTACAAGGGAACGGATTACAGTATGACCCAGTAGAGCAGTGTTTCTGAACCTGGGGGTCACCGAATGGGTTTGGGGTGGGGTGCGGGTCGCAAGCAGGGCCAGCATTAGCGGGTCAGAAGCAGGGAAATTGCCTGGGGCCCCGCGTCACAGGGGACCCCGGGAAGCTAATATACATGTTTCAGCCCCGAGCCGCACAGGACAGCTGAAGCCCCATGCCGCATGGGGCAGCTGAAGCCCAAAGCCCGCAGCCTAAGGTAGGGGGTCACAAGATTTTCTAGTAGGGAGGTCACACTTTATTTAATTTATTTATTTATTCCAAACGGGGTCACCAGCACAAAAAGGTTGAGGAAACAAACAATGCACTAGAAGGTCTCCTCCATTTGTGTTTAACTCCAGTATTTGGGTCATGAAAAAAATCAAAATAATTAATAATAAACCACAACAATAAATGTTTACTATTTCAAACCTGGATGGGCCAGCTTAAGTATGGAATAAAAAGCCTTTGCAGAAAATAGTTTCCACTTAAGACAGGATAATCTATTACTATGCCAAAGGTATATTCACAGAGGAATATACAACAAGTTACAGCAGAAATCACATTTTAAAAGGTCAAATATGGAATTGAGACAGGTTGCTAGTAATTTATAATGTTGTGCCCAACATGTGCTAGGCACTTTCCAGTTAGAGGAAGATACAGTATCTGCCAATCCACATTCCCTGAAAGAATACAAAGTAAGGCTTTGTCGGAGCTAGGACTAAGATGCAGGGAAACACCTTTAGCTTAATTTTAGCTGGTCAAGTTATAGCTGAGGTTCCTGAGAATTCCTGTTTTAAAATTGTTTCTAGGGCCTACCCACTGTTATAATAGGTATGTAGTAGCACAAATGCAACACATCAGAAGAGTCAGAAAATTAGACCAGCAGACTCTGTAGAAAATATTCCCAATTGTTCAATAACTGTTTTGTTCTGAATTCTAAAGGTTATCATACTTAAATTGCATCGACCTTTAGAGATTTTTCAGAGACAAAGAGCTTTAACAGGCCCCTTATTTGACTATTTCATCAAAGTAAGAGCAAAAGTCCCTAAAGACAAATACTTTCATGAACCATTTGTGTTGAAAATGGCAGAAATGCATCCAAGTAGCATTAAACGATCCTTTATTGCTAAAGTAACATTTCAATTGAATTAAGATTTTCAGATTGTTTGATGTGTTAACAGTTAGTAGTCTCATACAACAAATGCGCGCGCGCACACAAACACACACACAAACACACACACACCCTTATGCAAATTCCCCCATGCAAACTCCTGTGTGGGAATTCCAAGGTACAATTACTAGATTACATAGCCTGTTTTTATATTTGCTATCATCTATTTTCTTTCTATATGTGACAAAAAGTGCAGCAAGTGAAAATGTTTGTATGTTTAAAAATACATAAACAAATATATAACACATTAAAGGAAAAAGTAAATTCCATATGTTAATAAAAAGCAGTTAAATATTTAGTAGCTACCTGAAGCTGCTGTTCTTTGAACATATCTGGATGTGGAGCACTGAGAATATCATCTGCCAACTGTGCCTGGCTATCAATATTAACTGGGGTTGTAGCTTTGCTACACAAAAACTTGCTGAAGATCTCCCGAGCTCTGTAAGAAAGCTACAAAACAGAAATCTTGTCAGCATTAATTTATTTTTACAAAACAAGACATAAGAACATAATAATGACCATGTTGGTCAGACCGATGTTCCATCTAGCTCAGTACCCTGTCTTCCAACAGCGGCAGATGCCAGATGATTCAGAGGGATCAAACAGAACAGGACACTTATTCAAGTGATCCACGCCCTGTAACCCAGTCCCAGCTTCTTGCAGTCAGATGTTTAGGGACGTCCAGAGCATGGGGTTCCATCCCTGACCATCTTGGCTAGTAGCCATTGCTGCACCTATCCACCATGAACTTATCTAATTCTTTTTTGAACCCACTTAGACTTTTGGCCTTCACTACATTCCCTAGTCATAAGTTCCACAGGTTGACTGTGTGTTCTGTAAAGAACTACTTCCTTTTTTGCTTTAAACCTGCTGCCTATTAAATTTATTGTGTGATTCCTACTGCTTGTGTTATGTGAAGGGGTAAATAATGTTCCCCTATTTACTTTCTCCACACCATTCATGATTTTATAGACTTCTATCATATTCCTCCTTAGTCGTCTCTTTTCTAAGCAGAACAGTCCCAGTCTTTAATTTCTCCTCATATGGAAGCAGTTCCATACCTTTAATAATTTTTGCTACCCTTTTCTCTACCTTTTCCAATTCTAATATCTATTTTGAGATGGGGCAACTATAACTGGATGCAATATTCAAGGTGTGGGTGTACCATGGACTTTTATAGAGGCATTATGATCTTTTCTGTTTTATTATCAATTCTTTTTCTATTGGTTCCTAACAGTCTGTTAGCTTTTTGGACTGCCACTGCACAGTAAGCAGATATTTTCAGAGAACTAGCTATGATACCTCCAAGATCTCTTTCTTGAGTGATAAGTGCTAATTTAGACCGCATCATTTTGTATGTAGAGTTGGGATATTTTCCAATGTGCATTATTTTACATATATCAACTTTGAATTTCATCTGCCATTTTGTTGCCCAGTCACCCAGTTTTGTGAAAGCCCTTTGTAACTCTTTACACTTAGCTTTGGATCTAACTACACCTCTACCTCGATATAATGCTGTCCTCGGGAGCCAAAAAATCTTACCGCGTTATAGGTGAAACTGTGTTATATCGAACTTGCTTTGATCCACAGGAGTGCGCAGCCCCGCCCCCCCCGCCCCCCGGAGCACTGCTTTACTGCGTTATATCCGAATTCGTGTTATATCGGGTCGCGTTATATCGAGGTAGAGGTGTATCTTGAGTAATTAAGTATCATTTCCAAACTTTGCCATCTCACTGTTCATCGCCTTTTCCAGATGATTTATGAATGTGTTTGATCCATGAGAGGACCTTCCCTCCTATCCCACGACTGTCTACTTTGCTTAAGAGCCTTTGGTGAGGGACCTTGTCAAAGGCTTTCTGAGCTGTGTTGACTCTTCCCCAACATATTGTGTTCAGCTAGGTGTCTGATAATTCTGTTCTTTGCTATAGTTTCAGCCACTGTGTCTGGTACTGAAGTTAGGCTTACCTGCCTGTAATTGCCGGGATAGCCTCTGGAGCCTTTTCTAAAAATTGGTGTCACATTAGCTATCCGCCAGTTATCTAGTACAGAGGCTGATTTAAGTGATAGGTTACATACCACAGTTAGTAGTTTTGCAATTTTATAGTTGAGTTGCTTCAGAACTATTGGGTGTTAACCATCTGGTCCTAGTGACTTATTACTGTTTAATGTATCCATTTGTCCCAAAACCTCCTCCACTGACACCTCAATCTGCGACAGTTCCTCAGATCTGTCACCTAAAAAGAATGGCTCAAGTGTGAGAATCTCCCTCACATTCTCTGCAGTGCAGACCAATGCAAAGAATTCATTTAGCTTCTCCACAATAGCACTGTCTTCCTTGAGTACTCCTTTAGCACCTCCATCAGCCAGTGGCCCTACTCACTAGTATGGTTCCTGCTTCTGATGTGTTTGTAACAATCCAAGGCTACGTCTTCACTACCCGCCGATCCGGCGGGTAGCAATCGGTTTATCGGGGATCGACTTACCGCGTCTCGTGAGGACGCGGTAAAATCGATCCCTGATGGCTCTACCGTCGACTCCGGAACTCCACCTCGACAAGAGGCAGTAGCGGAGTCGGCGGCAGCGCGGCAGCGGTCGACTTTCCCGCGTCCTCACCGCCAGGTAAGCCGAACTAAAATACGCAACTTCAGCTACGGTATTCACGTAGCTGAAGTTGCGTATCTTAGGTCGGAAGTCCGCTGTAGTGTAGACCTAGCCCAAGTGTATGTTAAATATGCTATTTCTGTACACTCTTGTTACCAAATGAAAAAGAGAAGCAATTATGTATCTCAGTATATGGGGAACCTTAATTTGGTATCTAGAGAAAAGGAAGAAGCTTAGTTTTTCAATCTTTCAAATAAACATTGATGTCTTTTGCCCACCTATATTACTCCTTTTGTTTTCCTTTGTTGAGATTTAAAAATCTAGAAGCTACTGTTTATTGCAATTTTAGTAAACATCTCTTTTTGTAAATTTTTAGGTTGCCAAAATTTTTATTCCCTTTAACATTTTGTGTCAGGGCAGTTGCTAAGTAATTAAATGTTCCAATCAAGAGAATTTACAATAAAATTTAAAATATTCAAAGTACAATAATAATAAATGTCAAGCCTGTCAAATGTTGCTTCAAAAGTATAATAAAAGCTTGTGACTTAGTGATTTTTTTTTTAAAAAAAAGCACTAAGACTTAAATTAGAGAAGGCAGTAAAATTTAACCATATACTTGAATATCTGCAGTAAAAAAAAATCTTGATCTTTCTATTTTTCACTTGCTTATTTTATAAACAACTAAATTCTGAATACAATGAAAGGAAATTAAACTAAATCAGCTTCAGTGCCCTGAGGTGGTTTCAGAAAAAAAAGGAAGTACTAGTGAAAGGCACTAGTTTTTGACACAATCCCACATGATATTCTCATAAACCAACAAGAGAAATGTGGTATAGCTTAAATTACTATAAGGTGAGTGTAACACTGATTTAAAGATACAGCATAGTTATCAGTGGTTTTAAGAACAGGTTAGACCAGAAGTGAGCAAACTATGGTCTGTGGGCCACATCCAGCCTGCAGGACTGTCCTGCCCGGCCCCTGAGTTCCCGGTCGGGGAGGCTAACCCCCAGTCCCTCCCTTGCTGTCCCCTCTCCCCCACAGCCATGCTGCTGTGCAGGGAGTACTCTGGCCTGCCGCTCCTGCCGGGCTGCGTGGCTTGCACCTGCCCACCTCCCAGGCTTTCCAATAAGCCAGTCCTGCTGCTCTGAGCGTTATGGTAAGGGGGTGGGGAGCGGACGGGTTGGATAAGGGGCAGGAGGTTCTGGGGGGCAGTCAGGGGACAGGGAGCAGGGGGCGGTTGGATGGGGTGGGGGTTCTGGGGGGGTGTCAGGTGATGGGGGACGGGGGGGTTGGATAGGCGTGGGACTCCCAGGGGTCCTATCAGGGCACGGGGGTATGGATAGGGGTCAGGCAGTCAGGGGACAGGGAGCGGGGCTGGTGGTGGATAGGGGGCGGGGTCCCGGGGGGGCAGTCCCGGGAGGGGGCGGTCAGGGGATAAGGAGCAGTGGGGTTTGGATGGGTTGGTGGCTCTGGGGGGGGGGGCCAGGAGGTGGGAAGTGGGAGGGGGCGGATAGGGGGCGGGGGCCAGGCTGTTTGGGGAGGCAGAACCTTACTTACCTGGCCCTCCATACCGTTTCACAAACCCGGTGTGGCCCTGGGGCCAAAAACTTTGCCCACCCCTGGGTTAGACAAACATCTATCAGGGATTATCTAGAATTACTTGATCCTGCCTCAGCACAGGGGACTGGACTAAATAACCTCTTGAGGTTCCTTCCAGTCCTACATTTCTATGATCCTACAAAAGTAGGGTGTCCCACAAAATAAGGATTAAATAAAGACTCAAATAAGGACTAAATGGAATAGAAAGGCCTTTCACAGAGTCCTAAATAGAACTTTAATTGGATTCTGGGAAATACTCTCATGGAACTGAGATCCCCAGGAGAGACCCCTGAAACAAAATGACTGTGTCCCCAGCCCAGCTCAGATAGAACCGCAAGACGAAGACCAAGAACAGTCCAAATTATCTCAATTGCCTTGGAGGAGACCAGCTTTTAGCTAGCAACTTTATACCTGAATATATAGCATTATTTTACCTCTTTTTTGTCATGTGCAGGTACATGGTTAAAATATTCACAGGCCTGCCAGAATAAAATATTTTCTTCACTAAATTCTTTCCGTAGAAATTCCTAGGAGAAAAAAATAAGCATATAAAACACGTCACAAAATAAAGACCAGTTGCTTACATTTTAAAACAACATATTTATAGGGGGAGAAGAGGGGAGGAGAGGTTGGAGTTTGCATAATGTTGGGATTTTTTTTTTAAGTAATGAAAATGTTATTATTGCTCTCAGAATCAGGCCTTTTTTTAAAATAATTTCTAAATTTAGGATCAGATTTGCCAAACACTGACCCTTTCCATTTATTTAGAACATGTTCAATTTGCAATACTGAATCAAGTTACAATCAACATATTTCAATGTACGAAGACTGTTTAGAACTTTGCATTGTGAAACTGGTTCACAGACTAATGAACAAGATTTTAATAAGGATTTAAATAATTTTTAGTTATACTAAAATAGTTACACTGTAGGGAAGTTGCTTATCTTTAACTGACATTCTAACAGGATACAATGGAGACAGTGAAAATGTTTCCCTAGAGCGCACTTTTTAATCATGTAAGTGGTCCTCACTTATATCCTTTGCTAGTTGCTTAAATTGGTATCAGCCTTATAATATTTTTTAAAATTTTTAATTAGAATAAAACCTTTCTGAATATAGCACTTGAGGCTGCCACTTTGCTGAAAAGAGAGGTAATTTGTGACATTAGCAGTGTGAATGCCCAGTAGAAGAGCCTGTGAAACCAATTTCCAACCTGATTTAATAATAATTCATTATCATAAAAATTAATATTTAACGAGTTTAATTCTTAAATATAAACATTTCTTTTTGACTTTTAAACCAATATTAAAGCACATCAGAAACTGGTTTACAATCTACTCAATGGTTCCCACACTGCATAATTTTTCAGTAAGACTAATACTGAACTCAGAAAGACTTAAGAGTCATTTAAAACTAAAAAGAAAGTCACTCTTTATACACAAATGCTGAGAACTTTAGGCTGCTAGGCTGAGCAAAATAGAAGCAATGGCAAGAAACGAACATCCAACTAAAGACAAAGCACTTTTTTATATATTAAAAAAGCATTTTACTTTCACCCCCTCCCTCTGGATGGGTTCTTTGTTAATGTGTTCATTAAAGCGTTACTCTATTTAGGATGGAAAGAAGTTCTAGTTTGTGCTTATTTAGCCAGGACATTTTTTCTTTTTATTTCCTAATATCAAACGTATAACACAGAGTTTGTGTATGAAGAGAAGGTTACTCACCCTGTGCAGTAACTGAGGTTCTTTGAAAAGGATGGCCCTATGGGTGCTCCAATTCAGGTGTTGGTGCATCCTTGCGCCTTTGATTGGAGAATTTCAGCAGCAGTGTCCATCCGGGTTGTGCATGGGCTGTCCCTGTCTCGCGCTGTTGTCAGCGCCTATATAGTTCATGCGACCCAACCCCTCTCAGTTCCTTCTCAGTCTGGAAATTGAACTCCGAAGTAGAGGGGAGGAGAGTGGGTAGTGGAAAACCCCCAGGGACACCCATCTCAAAGAACATAAGTTACTGCATATGCTGAGTAACCTTCTTTCTTCTTCTTCGAGGACTGTCCCTGTGGGTGTTCCACTTCAGGTGACTGTCGAGCAGTGCCCTACATCGGATGGAAGGGGTTTCAGAATTGCCTATGTAAGTGATAACACTAAGATCTAGCAATGCATCTGATCTTGAACTCTGGTCGATTGTGTAGTGTTTTGTAAACGTGTGTACGGAAGCCCAAGTGGCTGCTCTACATATGTCCAGTAGCTTTTCTAAACAACAAAATCATGAAGTTGAAAGGGATCTGGTAGAGTGAGTTCTGATCCCCGATGGGGGTTGCAGGTTCTTTTGTTGATAACAGAGGTGGATGCACCCAGAGATCCATTTAGATGGTCTCTGTGTAGAGATAGCGGAGCCTTGTAGGCATTTCCCGTAGTGGAAATGAAAAGCCGTCGAGATTTTCTGAAAGGCTTACTTTTGTCAAGGTAGAACGCTAGTGCACGCCTGACATCTAGGGTATGTAATACTGAGTCCTGAATGTTCCCATCAGGTTTAGGGAAGAATGGGGAAAGATGGACTGTTGGTTTACATTGAAGGAGGGAGATTCTTTAGATAGAAATTTTGGGTGGGGTCTTAGTGCGACTTTGTCCTGAAAAAAGATGGTGTAAGGCGAGTGTGCCAGGAGGGCCCCTAACTCACCCATTCAGCGGGCTGATGGGATAGCCACTAAGAACACCACTTTAATCGATAGATGTATCAGAGAGCATGTTGCTAAGGGTTCAAATGGGGGTCCGGTGAGGCGACGTAACACTAAGTTCAAATCCCAAAGCGGAGTAGGTACATGCACTTCGGGGTAAACATTCTTGATACCCGTAAGGAAATGTTTGGTGCTCGGATGGGCAAATATCAATGTCCCATTGATCTTGTGGTGAAAAACGGTAATAGCCACAAGATGTACCTTGATTGAGCTAATGGAGAGCTCCCTGATGTCTTTAGTCTCAAGATATAGTCGAATATCAAGGGTAGGGGTATGGAAACGGCACTAATATATTTGTTCTGGCACTGTATGTGGAACCTCTTCCATTTGTGAAAGTAAGTATTGTGCGTGGTTGTCCTTCTACTGTTTAGCAATAGGTCTTTAACCCAGTCCTAACAGGCTAGCTTGTCATGATGGAACCATGTCGGAGCCATGCTTTCAGGTGAAGTCTCTCCAGGTTCGGGTGATGAACCCATCCGTCATCCTGTGACAGAATGTCTGGCAGAGGTGGAAGAGTGCATGGTGAGCTTACCGCCATCCGCAATAGGTACAAGTACTAAGTCTGTCTGGGCCATGTTGGGACTATCAATATCACTTTGGCCTTGTCAGTACGTATTTTGTGTATCACCCTTGATAACAGGGGGATCGGAGGGAACGCATATAACAGGTATGCATCGCATTGGAGGAGGAAGGCATCCCACAGGGATTGCGACCCCAAACCTGCTCTCGAGCAGAATTGTGGGCATTTGTTGTTCTGGGATGTTGCAAAGAAGTCGATGGATGGGTGACCCCACAGTGTCTGAATATGTTTTGTAGGACCATGTTATTTAGTTCCCATTCGTGATCCTGGGAAAATTCTCTGCTCAGCATATCCACTGTAGTATTTTGATGACCTGGGAGGTACAAGGCTGAGATAGTATCAGAGGGGTAGCCGTGTTAGTCTGGATCTGTAAAAAGCGACAAAGAGTCCTGTGGCACCTTATAGACTAACAGACGTATTGGAGCATAAGCTTTCGTGGGTGAATACCCACTTTGTCAGACGCATGTAGTGGAAATTTCCAGAGGCAGGTCTCACAAAGAGACCACCTGCCCCAAATCATGTGGTGTTGTAGATGGGCTCCCCAGCCTATCAAGGAGGTATCAGTTGTGATTATTATTGAAGGTGGAGTCTGAGTGAAAGGGACTTCCATGCACACATTGTTGGGTTGTGTCCACCAGCGTAGAGAATTTTTGACTTTGATCAGCATTGCAAGGTGTCTATTTAGGCTGTGTTTGTGTGGTATGTAGATGGTTCTTAGCCAGCCCTGAAGATAGCATATGTGAAGATGCACATGTCATACCATAATTGTGGTTGCTGCCGTATGTCCTAATAGTTGGAGGCAGGTTCGTGCTGATATGTGAGGACTGTTCAGTGACAAAGAGATGAGGTTGGTTAGAGTGATGAACCTGTTCATTGGTAATGACTCTCTGGCTTCCAGAGACTCAAGATGGGCCCCAATGAAGTCTAACTTCTGTACGGGATTTAGAGTTGATTTTTGTATGTTTTTCTGTAAACCCAGTCTCAGGAAGAGGTTGAGTGTCCTGTGTGTAACGTTGAGGGCGTCTGCCTGAGTGGGAGCTTTTAATAGACAATCTTCCAGATAGGGGATTATTATTACACCTTGTTTGCAGAGATGCATTGCCACCTCCGTGAGAATTTTGGAGAACACTCATGGTGCCATCAAGAAACCGAAAGGCAGAACTTTGTATTGGTAATGTTCTGTTCCCAGAGTAAATCTGAGAAACCTCCTGTGAGCAGTGTGTATGGTTATGTGGAAATAGGCATCTTGGAGGTCGAGAGCTGAAAACCAGTCCCCCTGTCCCAGTGCTGATATTGTTGTTGCTAGTGTGACCATCCGGAACCATTGGATCCTTATGAATCTGTTGATGTTTCTGAGGTCTAGAATAGGTCTCCATCCTCCATTCATTTTCTGGGTTAAGAAGTAGTGGGAATAAAAGCCCTTCCCCATCTGTGTTGAGCTGGTACTGGTTATACTGCGCCCAGAGGTAACACATGGTTTACTTCCTGCCATAGAAGCTGTTTGTGAGAAAGGTCCATGAAGAAGGATGGGGAGAGAGAGTGAGTAGGGGGGGATGGAGATGAATGGTATTGCATAGCATGTATGGATTATTTCAAGGACCCATTTGTCTGTGGTGATGGAAATCCACGCTGAATAGAAAGGAGTCAAACAGTGGCCAAAACGGGGGATGGACGATGGCATGGTGGGTGGGGGAGGTTGCTCAGACCCTCAACCAAATCCTCAAAATTGTTGTTTAGCAGAAGACGGCTGAGATATAGATGATTGAGGCAGAGGTGGTCGACGCCTCAAAGGTCTCTGCCTGTCGCTGTGTCTCTGTTGAGCGTATGGGGCGATCTTGTGTGCTGGTAGGGAGAATATGTACCCTGTTCTCTTTTGATTTCAGGTGTGTATATCCCCAAGGTGCAGAGAGTTGCCCAAGAGTCCTTCAAGGTGTGGAGGGCTTTGTCTGTCTTTGAGGCAAACAGTTTCTGGCCATCAAAGAGGAGGTCCTCCACTGCAGACTATACTTCCCTGGGGAAACCGGACAAATGAAGCTACGACACTTGGCGCATAACAATGGCAGTGGCTGTGATCATGCTGCCAGGGCTGCCACATCTAGGGATGCCTGTAGGGAGGTTCTGGCCAGAAGTTGACTCTCAGTTAAGATGGATTTGAATTCATCCCTTTTATCTTCTGGAATATCATTAATAAATTCTGCAAGTTTGAAGTAGTT